ATTCCTTGCAGATCGAACATTTAGGTGGATAATTGTCATTTGAAATGCAGACTCATTCTCAAGTAGATTTTTTAGTTTAAAAGGTGAAATGAAGGATTCAGACATCGTTTTTCAAGAGACAACAAAAAAAAAAAAAAAAAATTTTTGCTAGCTCGCCGTTATCTTGCACACGTCATCAGCACACGTTACTTTCAGAAACGGCGTCTGTTCAGCCTTACGAGCAAATATGCTACCGTTTCGGACCCAAACGAATTTCCAGTTGCATTCCTTCTTTTTTGCTACAGTCACTCCCAGCAGTTTTTTTAGCGCGGGGCAAAGGTGCTCGTTCACATACACAGAGCTACCCGAACTAATGCCAAGGTCCTCGCAACTGACGCGTCGTTTTTTGGCATGCCCAAGGAAGTTATCTCGCCTGTCCCGGCGTATGAACTGAACAACAATGTTCCTAGCCGTACGATCATGATGCACGTACTGTGCATCATGATCAACATACATCAGCTCGCCTGCACCTTGACAATTCTTTAGTTTGTGATTGCTTTGGAGGTTTATTTTCCGAGACGGAATAAACGCCGAGCAAAAAGCACAGAAGCTGACAAAACTTGAGATCGAGGAGCGTTCTACCATACCAGTAGCGCCGGAAGAGAAAAACGGGGGGAAAAGGTGGGGGGGGGGGGGGGGGGGGGGGGGCGGGGAGGGCTCCAACCTCTCTCTCTCCCGCCCCCCCCCGCCCCCTCACCCCCCCCCCCCCCCCCCAATATTTCGAACTGTTAAAGAAAACAATACGGGGAAAGAGGGCATGGTCGAGCTTATTTTAATCTGAAATTATTTATGCATATGTATAGCTACTGTCGCTCTTCACTGCATAAAAGGTTGCGTAGATGGTCATTGTTAGAAACTCGTTGTCAGAAGGCACTACTCGTCACATGCTTAGTGGTTCGGAAGTTCAAAGCTGTCTTTTCGACCTAAATACCTGCGCCGATAGTAAAAAAAAAAAAAAAATAATAAATGCGGGAATAAAAAGCAGGAGAAAAAAAAAAAAACTATCAAGAATTCGTCGGAAGTGTTCTATTCTTGCATATTCAGAGGTTCAGAACTTCGAAACAAGTTTCTTTTACCAAAATGTGTACAGACTAAAAGAAACACGTCCCAGGAACGTGAAGCGAAAAAAAAAATGTTTTCGTTTAATGACGTGCTGAACTTAAACACTATTAGATATGTACTGTCTGTGGTGTTAATTTAAATGCGATACCTCAAACAACTTAGACGAAAATAAATATCAAGTTTAGGTCATAATTGCATGCAGATACATGTTTGGATATTTCTTCGAAACTCACGTTGAATAACAATCATCACAACTTAAGACGGCACTTACCTAGGCTATACATAGATCATTCTTAAAAAAAGTATACCATAAATAGCTCCGGCTGCAGCGTGCTTCAAATGCGGCACAAATGATAATCGTCAAAAACCCGTCGTCCTTCCTCGCCCCTTCGGGGATTTATTTCTTTAAACCTAAGCATGCCAGAACATTGAAATAAACGACATTGTCTTTTTTGTAAGGAACGCAGCACCGCGTGTGAAAGTTCGAGAATAAAAAAATACGAATGTACCCCACTACTTGAAATCAAATGAAACCGTCCGCCGGTCTTTCGAAGTTCGACGAACGTCGAACTTTTGCCCTAAAATTTCGAAGTTCGTCGAACTTCTGACATTTCAGAATTCGAAAGTTCGAAACTTTTCGAATTCTCTAGATAAATAAGTTCGAAAATTCGAAATTCATCGAATTTTTTTGGTCAGTCAAGTTCGAAAGTTCGACAAGCATCGAACCTTGCAGCGCAATAAGTTCGAAAGTTCGAAAAAGATCGAATTTTTTTAGCGTAATAAGTTCGACGGTTCGAAAAGCGTCGAAGTTCTTAGCTTAACAAGTTCGAAAATTCGACCTCCGTCGAATTTTACGATATAGACAATTCGAAAAATCGAAATCTTTCGAACCTTTCGAACCGCTTGAATCGATCATCGAAACTTCGATTCGAAAAAAGTTCGCGGCATCCCTAATGCACACGGCAACAATCCATCCGTCGACGAATATTTGGATTCGCGTTCGTGGCCAATGAGTGCCCCTGACGGAACTTATCGTCACTTGGGAATGACAAGTTCTGCGGCGTGCTTAAAAAGCACGGTGGAAGCTAGGAGTCATCGCACCGGTGCCAAAGAATGTTACAACGACTTGATTTCGCGATTCGCCTTTGACTTGAGGATTAAAGCTAAGAAGGAGAAGTAGAAAAAATCGTTTCATGACCCCTTTAAGAGCGTTAGTGTAACTAGGATATGAAACTCCCTAATCAAAATTAGGTGCCGACAAAGGCTCGTGCAGAGGGCTATTTGTTTTAGGTTTTTGCTTTAGAACAGCTACTGCTGTATACACCTCCACGTGCAGCGAGCGAAACGCATTACTGAGCTCGCGCACCAGGCACGGGCTCTGAACGCTCATCCAGGGCAGCCTTCGAACGCCGATAGCTGAGTTTTGCTGAAGATCCACGCAAGAGGTAACAAAGACACGCTTCGCTCCCAAGTTTCACGCGAAGGTAAATCTATCCTGTATCCTATCCTGATATTAGAGTCATACAATCTATTTCATCCCGCTATTTGAGCGAACAATCACCGCTGCATGCCGATAGAACAGAAGCAGTTCTTTGTCGATCCGAGTAACCATCGGCCATGCAGGAACGCTCGTTGACGAACTTCCTCTGTCGCTGGGTTGAGACGCACAAACGCCTAGATTGCTGTTCAGGTGTGTTTGGCGTTTGATGTCTGATCGCCTACTGAGGGCCATCAGGTATTTGAGCTTAGGTTACGGGTCCGAAGGAGAGGTTTTCATCCAATCATTGAGAGCCAGGTGCCGAGTCTTATTAAGGCCCATTCACACAGTATACCGTTTCACTAGGTTTAACTACGTTATGAGGACGCACGTCGAATTGCGACCATGGGTCCCCGGGGCATCGGCGTTTCGAATGAAGCCCCGTTTCTTTCTGCCAAGGGGACATGCAGATGAGAAAGGAGTTTTCTTCAATTGACGCTCAACATCCTTATAACCTAGACGTGATGTGAAATTTTGAAAACTTTTGAAGTTGGCGTACGGGGCGAGAAACGTCATCCTAGTACACGGCTCGAGACCGAAACTAACCCGTTGAATTGCTCATGTGGCGTCGATCCCTTTGCTCTCGGCTTGCGTCGCACTGCTCACGTTACCTGAGGCGTGGGCAGGTGGGTGAGATCGACGTTACTGGCGCGCTTTGGCAGGTTAGTTTCGGTTTGAAGCCGTGCACACAGATGACATTTCTCGTCCCGTAGCGCCGACTAGAAATATAGCAATCAGAATTTCACCTCACGGCTAGGGTACAATGAGGACGAGGTCGATTCTCAAATTGCCCCACTTATCGTGACGATTTTCCCACATATAATTTCCGCCAGTTCATATAACTTACCTGCACAGACCGCACCAGTGTGCGGGTGCGGTCTTTTTCTATCTGTGAATAATATTAATAATAATAATAATAATAATAATAATAATAATAATAAAACTCTCTGTATAACATAACAGCCACTGAAAATAACAATTTCCACATTAGTTATGAACATAAAAACATCAGGTTGGGCCTCTAGCAAAATCATTGCAACTTCTGGCGCTCAAGCGAGGCTTACGTGACGCCATAGTGCCATGAATGGCAATGTAATTACTGTCGTTTTTGCATTCTTAAGAAGCTGTAGCACACGCCCTCAAGACGAAAATATGCCGATATTTAATTACTCTCCGGAACTTGGTAATTCTGCAGATGAACCCTCCAAGGCCGGTGCCCGGTGAGCCGCGAGCACTCGGGCCCCGAGTATGCCTTGAGAACCCAAGTCGACTGACCTCGCAGCCGTTAGCCACCAGAGCTGGAGGGACAACTTCAGCCGTCCAGGGTGCCCTTTCGCATCAAAGTGGGGTGACGCGTGACGCCATGCTGGTGAAGACTGAAGGCGGCCAGCTCCAAATGGTGAACATGAGCCCTGCTTTCAATTCAGGTCCGTCAGAACCAACCCTTATGAGCAGGGAGGCCTTTATACTACGGCCACCACAAGCGCGTGGAGGACAACAAATGTTCCATCAAATGCCGGCCAGATACACTGCACCTACTCAGATGGCGGGAACGGTGTTGCGGCAGAGGCAGCCAGGACCTGGCATCCTGCCAGGTGTTGAACAAGCAAGGTTAATCGGCCACGGGACGATGCAACAGCAGGGTGGCTTGAGCCCGCCGACGGTAAGAGCAGGTCACGGCGCGCAGCCATTCCCTGTTCAGACCACTCTAGCCAACCGTCCCACAGGGACCTCAACCCCGTCTCAGATGTCGCCAGACATGGCAAAAAATAAATGCAAGAACTTCCTCTCCACCTTGATTCGCCTCGCGAGCGCTCAGCCCGGGCACACTGCCACCAATGTTAGATGTCTCATTCAAGGTCTTATCGACGGAACTATTCAACCGGAATATTTCACGAAGCAGTTGGAGAAGGAGCTGAACTCTTCCCCACAACCATGTCTCGTTCCTTTCCTTAGGAACAGTCTGCCATATCTGAGGCACTCGCTACTCACGAAAGAGTCGTCTATCGAAGGAGTGCGCCCGCCAAGAACTGCCGTCCCAATGCCACCGGCGATGACGCCAGCTCAAAGCCTACAAAAAGTTCCCAATTCTCTGTCGATTTTTCCTAGTTCGGCGACACACATGCAAGTTTTGACTCCCAGATCGCTCGCCATGCAGCTTAAAAATCCTTCGAGACTTCAGGCTGTGTTTGCACAACCGCAGAGACTAGTTGCGGCGTGTTCAGCATCCACTGCGAGTGCGGCAACTGCGAGAAACAGCCTTCTACTATCGAAATCGACCGGACTCGCATCACTCTCAAGTGGGATTCTGCCGGTCAAAGGAATGCCACCAGTGGTTAGAGATCCCACCGCGATCCTAAGAGAAAAACGAGCCTCTGTGTCGCAAAAGATTGACGATGACATCAATGACGTTGCGGCGATGGGAGGCGTCAATCTAATTGAGGAAACTCGTAATATTTTGTCGTCAGACGCCGTAGGCACTGAAGTGCGCTCGTGCCAGGAGTACGATTTCCTCTTCACGAAGCCACTTCGAAGACGGATAGCAGATATGGCTGCGAAGTACGGTATCAGCGAGATTCCAGACGACGTTCTGGCCCTCGTGTCGCAGGCTACCCAAAAACGCCTCCGGTCACTCCTGGAGAAACTCATCGTCATCGTTGAGCATCGGCAAGAAAATGTCAGAGTCGACGATCGCTACGATGTCACGCAAGACGTGAGGGGACAACTGAGGTTCCTGGAGGAAATTGACAAGGTTGCGAAGAGACGACGCAGTGAACAGGAGCGAGAGAATCTGGTTCGCGCGGCAAGGAGTAGCTGCGTGATGGAAGACCCCGAGCAACTGAAGCTCAAGCACAAGGCGGAAGAATTGCACGAAGCGGACGCGAAAAAGATGCGCCAAGGAGAAGCCAACATCACCGCGTCGTTAGCAGTCGGATCACGAGAACAGCAAAGCGGCGAGAGCTCGGCTATCACGTGCTCAAGCGCAAGTTCCATGGTTCCGGTGCATCCGCGGTTGAAGAGGGCCAATGTCAGAGACGTTATTTTCCTCCTGGAGCAAGAGCACGGCAGTCGCCGGAGCGAGTTTTTGTACAAGGCGTACTTGAAATAGAGCGACAATGAGTTTACTCTGAAGGTGCAACCCCACCATGTATGTCGATTTGCTTCTTTTTTGACGGTTCATAACTTTTTGTTTTTTGTATTCTACAGTAATGAAGTTAATGTTAAATTAAATACCTGGGGGTACTCCGGCGTTTTTGGAGCTAACCAAAGAAATTGCATTTTCTGACTACACAGCCTTTAATCTTCACGGTATGCTATTTATTTTCTCGAAATTCAAGATAGGAATTGAGAAAACCATAAATGAAGATGAGCCGAAACCAGCGTTCAAATTTCCGCGCGCCCTCCAGTGGTGTAACGTCACAAATGGTACAGACTTTCAGGTCGTGCAGGTAGTCTTAAATAGGGCATGTCGGGTTCTTTTTGCGTGCTTTTCAACGAATCAGCTACCAAGCCTTCCTTTTCCGCCATCAAACGTCTTGTAATCAGTTGGGAACATGGTTTACTGCCCACTTTGTACCATTTCTGTCATCACACTTCAACGTTGCCAGTAGGGGCTCCCGACTTGAGAAACACGATAAAAACGAAATTTAAAAAATCGATAATTTTACAAACCTTTTTCTTTTTTTTTTTCGGTCAATACTTGGGGAATTAGTGCAGCCGTGTCTATCGGCGTGTTGAACGAATTTTGAGGCAAATCAGCAAACATGCAAAAATCACCTTAGTACCCCTTGAACTCTACTTTAAAAAACCTCTGACACGACAAAAAAAAAATTATGCTAGGCGTTAAAGTGATGTATCAGGAGTGAGTGAGTGAGCGAAACATGTCTTTAATATGGAAAGGAGGATCGCCTGCCTTGGCCGAGTAGGTCTTAATCAGGAGGGGTAGGGTTATTTGGGTTGGGGAAGGGGGAAAGGTGGGGGGGGGGGGGGGGGGAATGTATCAGGACATCACCAAAAAATTGTTTTACTTTGGAGTTGCGTAGCTTTTTTTTTTTTTTTTTTAATAGTAATACGAAGCCCAAATTCAAAGTGCCCGCCAGTGCCATGTGACGTAACAATGTACCGCAAGATGTCGGGGCGGTCAGAAGGAAGGCATCGCCGGAAGTTACGTGAGTTGTATCACTCCTCGTGCTTACCTGGCCTACCGCGACCGCGTGTAATATATATATATATATTATTCTTCGCATTTCCGCGAGCGATCCAAGCAGATAAGGTTTCTTTTATTTGCTTTTCATCGCCTGAAGTTGCTGTGAAGGTAGAAAAAGAGGAGTAAGTGAGGCCTAGTAAACAAGTTCTACTCATGTTCTAGACAAAACACGTACTGTATGCTCGACGTTTACTTGTACTTGGTTCACTCACCAGTTCGTATAGACCGGTTGCTCTCGGGCAAGGGGCGCGAGCGCGTCCGCAAGACGCAACCATGTTATGCTGGCAGCACCATTGAGGCGGCACTGTAACGTTCAATTTTGCCCGAGCCACGTTGGAATGCAAGCATCTGTCAGCATCTGTAGACGGGCGATCACAAAACGTCTAAAAAGAAACTAGAATAAAAGAAAAAGAATTATGCTGCTCGCGGCCTCAGCGACCCATTAAGCATTCCTTTCAGCTTTATTATTTTATTGCTCTCTTTCATAGCTTCCGTGAGCCCGTATGTTTCACTTTACTTGATAGCAAACCGAAGCTATACTTGCTAAAGCATGTTCCCCTGAACGATGCTCGCACTGCACGAGCGCGCGTGCCTGCTTGGCAGGGACACTGAAAGCATGGAGCTCGCCCTCGTAGCCTCTGCTACGCTGGCACGTATAATGGGACGGAGTATAAAAAACTGTAGTGGGGAAGCGTGATGACGTACGTTCGAAACGCGAGCCAAAAATTCTATTTTGCTCGCCTGGAGCGCTGCTCAAAACTTGAGAGCTACGGGCCTATTCTCTAGACGGCAGGCATCTTCAGCCTGGAGGGTATCCGATGATTCCACGACCTCGGTGTCTGAACCTTCGCAAATGCGATCGGGCGTGTCCTATGCTAGCAATCCTCATTTCTGCGAGCGTTCTAAAAAAAAAAGTTAAAAACTCTATAGCTTGTTTTGTGCCTAGTATGGCTCTGTACCATAGGACTGATGGCATGCACTCGTACACTGGCTTGTACTCGAAACGCTTTCATCAATGGCCTCCATCACGTCGATAATCTGACTCTTCGTCCTGAACTTTTACAGCACGCAAACTAACCAACGGTGCAGTGATAAAAAGCAAGTAGAACTGAAACTTCGTTTTCTACGATCGCTCGTTGAGAAGACCAGAATAAAAAAAAAAAGAAAAAAAAAAGTCTTAAGGCTCGTTTACACTAATTTACACTGCCCCGTTTTCTTCCGTTACGTTAGAAAAAGTCACCGGGGAATCTGTGCTTCGTATTAAGCGTGGCTACCAATTGAAGGAGATAGCGTGGCACGCGACATTCGAGACACAAATGTTACGGTGACGACGAGCTAGGACGGCGAGTTAGCGTGGCAGCCAAGGACACAAGGCTCGTCGTAACGTAACGTAAGGAGTTGAGCTCGGTTCAACTTTTCACACCCCTACTGAAAAAAACCATTTGGCGCCCATATGAAAATAAACGGGTCCATACCGGTAACCGTTTAACCATACTGGTCACCAGTTTGTCATAGGGGTCGCCCGTATGGCTCAAAGGGGTCCCCCGTATGAGCCATAACGGTCACCTATTTGGCAAACGGGTCGCTCGTCTGGGCAAATGGGCGACTCCTTTGGGCAAAGTTGTCGCACGTTTGCTCAAACCGGCGACCATGTTGCAAACTGCACCGGTTTAATCAAACGGCTCTCCGGAGCCCGTTTGATATTGAACGTACAGATCGGCGGCGTGGGCACGCCTAGCGTTTCAGCCGTGGCAGCCAATGTTTTCCGGAAGGCTGGGAGCGCCGGTTCATCGATTTCAGATCGTCCGCGTAATGCAAGTAATTATATATTTCAATTGCGCTGATTTTCGATTATACTGCAACTAAAACTAACACCTTTTTTTTTTTGTTTTACGTAAACGCGCGACGTTGGTGAGCCGATATTTTTGACAGACCTTCAATACTTTGTCCATCTTTGTTGCCTCAATTTACTTATTCAGCTCGAATCTCTCTCGCAGAAGACGCGACCGCGTGAAAGAATGTATGTCTAGACAGGGACCCCGGAACCGGGGGGGCAACGGGGGCTTGAGCCCCCGCTGTCATTTTCCAGGGGGTGCTGGGCTATATGCTGAGCCCCCGTGCATTTGGCTCATGGCCTCCCTCTCCCCCAGGGACGAATTAAGGTACGGGCTGAGGGGGGCCCAGACAGTGCAGCCCAGGGCCCCGGGTGGCCCCGTGCTGGTCCCCGGAAATTTGAAAAAAAAAAAAACGCTAGTCGGTTTTAGTTTAGAATAGCTGAGACCTAAAAGTGGAACAAAACTCGGAGGAGCCTCTGGGCCCTGGCTTTCTGACGTCGTGCCATCCCATTCCCCCCACTCCCACTCCCCACTCTTTTTTTTTTTTTTTTCAACGGGAAAACAGGGACTCCACAAAGTTACCCTCTTTAGACGAGCTGGTGTTTATGAGCTCGTTGTAAAAAAAAACTGTGCTAGAGCAACAAAATGTAAGCGTTGCCTCCCACCCTCCTTGTCGGGGGGAGCAAAGCTGTCGACGCTGGCGGTCCCTTTGAGGTCTCTTCTAATTGAAACCAGACGGAAGGACGGCCACGGAGTCCTCTATTGTACTGGGGCACCCTCGACACGTTGTACGGACAATAGTGGGTTGGAAGGCAAGCAAGTGTTGCCGAAGGCTACACGAGCAACATACATTCTACACATTATTTTTTCTATATATTTTGGTCTTTTAGTGTCGTTCCACATGGAAAGTTTCCTCCGAAACGACAAGTTTAAAACACGCAAAAACAAATATCGGTGAACCTCCCCAAGTATTATTTTCTAACCACTAACAGGCCTTTCAAGGAGCCGGCTCTTGAGATGTCCCCCAAAAGTTTTCGAGAGGCAGTGGCTGCAGGCAACTGCTCTTTAGCCCGTGTCTGATCCGCCAGTGCGAGACACGTTTTCTACCATCGAGTGATATGACCGCTGCAATTTTTTTTTCCCAAGCCTCTGAGGTATGACTTTTTATTCTTAGCTTAGAGCAGGGGTGGCCAAGCTGTTGCTCTTTGCGTGTTGAAGTGCGGCTCGTGGCTTCATAATATACCAAACTAACACCCCCCCCCCCCCCCCCTTTCCCGCCTCCCTCCCGGCCACATGAGCGCTTTCCCAAGAAGAGAAAAGGAACGAGTTTTAAATCGAGACAGGTTGCGGTTTGGTCCTGTGCTACCGCTACCATACGTACGTACAGTTGAACTGCTTTTGACTTGGATATATCTAAAGTAGTTCAAGTTTCATTTAACGGTCTAAAAAAAGTTTAGACCCCCCCCCCCCCCCCCTTTTTTTTTCTGCCTGTTTTTTTTTTTTTTTTTTCAGGCGTTTTTTGGAAGTTTGTTTGCGGCTTTTAGGCCGGGTCAGCCTAGCCACCCCTGGCTTAGAGTAGTACGTCTAAATCACGACCAACTCTGGTCTAAATGGCTGCGAAGCTCTAAATTTTGTGAACTTAGAAGAAACAAGACCATTTCCAAAACTGATTGAAACATTTTACCCTTGAAACAGACAGCGTGTGGGAGAGGAGTTTGAAAATACCTCCTTGATCTTCATGAGAGATGCCCGTGAATCTGCCCAAAAGGACAGTAGTTGCCATATTACAATTGCGTTCATTCTTAATTATTCCTTTTACTATTTGTATGCAGAAGTTTGTTAGTTTGGGACATGAGAGGTCAGTTATTAGAAGAGGGTGGACGAGGCGGTTTGAGCCCTAAATACTTTAACCACCAAGATTAGTTTGTTGTATGTTTTGCTTTATTGTAAGATGGGAGTAAATAGATGAATTGAAAAAAAGTCACTAATTAAAGGGGTCATGAAATGTTCATGACTCTAAAGAGGTGTACGTACTGGTCCTGAATGTATGGACACATCGAATAGATA